TCCTCCCTCCTCTCACTTGCTCACCTCTTCTCTCTATCATTTCAATCCTGATGCCCTCCCTAATATTCTTCTACTACCCCCAATAAACTTCTCCCCCGCCCTCCCCCTCCCTGACTCACCGCATATGCTGATAATGTTGGGTAACAGCTGTGCGCTCACAGAGAAGGGATTCACTGAGCCTGGCTTCTGTATTAGGCCTGTCAGCTCCTCTCTCAGTAGATGCTTCACGTTGGCAATTGAGCCGTTGTTTGGTGCCGGCGCGAGTCCTGCATCAGAGAAGAACACATGATCTTCTGTGTTCTCCATGATATATATATATATACTAGGAAACTGACAGAGAATCGATATGGACACAAACTGTCGGAAACGACACACTTTATAATTTACCTGTAGCATACATAAACTCACGATGACCTGTTCATATCAAACAGAGATTTTCGTCTAGAGAATGTAGACTCTTTCACGTGTATATACTTTCTCTCCTTTTCGTATGTATGACCTGGCTACTGCTCTTGCTTTTTGCAATACAATAGAGGAGTAGTCTACAGAGGGCGCTGGTTGCACGCACCGAGTATCTCGCACATGAGTGGGTAGACGTTGACGTTGGCGAATGGCTCGCTGATCAGACCCTTCCGGAACGCCGGGCCGCGCGCCACAAAGAACGGATGCATGGACATCGCACGATTGTCATAACCATGGTCACCTGTCGAGTGACAAATAGAAGATCGTCACCTATTAACGAACAGAGAACAGTCACCAAGTCCAGGTAATGTGATGACAATAACCACCTGTTAAGGAATATAGAGCGGTCATCTAATAAGTGATGAATGGATAATAATTGTTACCTGTTAACGAACAAAGAGTGGTCACAAGGTAAGCGCGTGCACCGTCAACATTCACCCGCTAATGAACACACAGCAGTCATCTGGTAACTAATAAATGGACAGCATTCCAAACGGCCGACGATGGCCCGTGTAAGCCACGTGCAGGCACTTGGAGCGTTTCAATAAAATATAATGCTAAATAAATACGAAATCTATTTACTACCAAAGTCTCAATGTTTAGCACCATGGAGTGAATAATAATGATCTATTATTATTATTATTATTTATTATTATTATTATTATTAATTATCTATTATTATTCACTCCTGATATTAGTTAAGCAAGTTAATAGAGAATGCTTATAAAATTAAAACAAATAAAACTAAATTAATAGTTACACGCACTGAACGTCGTCCGTCCAGTCATCTCACCGCATTCCATGCACCGTCCATTCACTCAGCAAACTAGTAACCACGGACCATATACTCACCACACCACTGACCCCATACTCACCACACAACTGACCGTATATTCACCACACCACTGACTGTATACGCACCACACAACTGACCACATTACTTCACCACAAATGACACCAGTACTCCACCAGCACCATCTGACCACATACTCACCACACAACTGACCAGTATACTCCACCCACACAGTCTTGACCACATCACTTCACACGACCCACTGACCACATACTCACCACACCACTGACCACATACTCACCACACCACTGACCACATACTCACCACACCACTGACCACATACTCACCACACCACTGACCACATACTCACCCACACAACTGACCACATACTCACCACACAACTGACCACATACTCACCACACCACTGACACGCTACTCACCACACCACTGACCACATACTCACCACACCACTGACCACATACTCACCACACCACTGACCACATACTCACCACACCTCACTGACCAGCGTATCTCACCACCACCATGACCACATTACTCACCACACCACTGACCACATACTCACCCACACCACTGACCAATACTCACCACACCACTGACCCACATACTCACCACACAACTGACCACATACTCACCACACCACTACCACCATACTCACACCACCACTATCACCATATACTCACTCACACCGACTGACCACGTACTCACACACCGCTAACCATAGTACTCACCACACCACTGACCAATATACTCACCACACCACTGACGACGATACACACCACACCAGCTGACTCACATACTCGACCCACACCACGACCACATACTCACCACACCCACTGACCATATACTCACCACAACACCTGGACCACATACTCACCACACCACTGACCACATACTCACCACACCACTGACCACATACTCACCACACCACTGACCACATACTCACCACACCACTGACCATTTATACCACCACGACACTGACCGCTCATACTCACCACCGCCACTGACGCACATACTCCACACCACTAGACCATAACTCACCACACCACTGACCATTATTACTCACCACACACTGACACATACTCCCACACCACTACCACATATACCCGCCACCACTGACCGGTATAACTCACCACACCACTGACCACATTACTCACCACACAACCTGACCACATACTCCACACACAACTACACATACTCACCACCACCATGACCACATCACTCAACCACACAACCTGACCCACATACTCACCACCACCACTGAACCACATACTCACCAACGCAACTCTGACCCACTCATACTCACACCACACCACTGCACCACATGACCTCACCAACACAACTGACCACATACTCAACCACACCACTGACCACATATCTCACCACCACACCTGACACATAATACCTCACCACACCACTGAACCACATAATCTCACCACACCACTGACCAATACTCACCACACCACTGACCACATACTCACACACCCACTGAACCACATACTCACCACACCATGGGCAT